TATAAAGAGGAGACGCGCGATAAAGTTTGTTACACATTTAATAACAAACTGGATAAAACCATCAAGTTCATAAAATAACTCCAGCACAGAGAAAGCAACACAAAAATAAAATCGCGACAGTTTGGAAGGTTATTACAACATTTCCAGCCAACAAGAGCAGCAGATCAGCTGGCAGCACATGTCTGTGTCCACCTGCGTCGGAGGAAGGGGATGTTTAATGAGCTTTACCTGCTGTAATCAGCTGGTCCGCTAGTTTTGGAGAGGAGGAGACCGACTTAGTCTCCTTGTAGAAACTTCCTGACTGATAAACTCAAAACAACAACTTCTGACCCAGTATTTAGCTTAACTCCATCAGCTGCTCGCTGTAAACACACTGATGAACGCGGGCTGCTGTTTCCCAGCTATAAATTTAATGCCGACATACCATCTCAGCGGACATCCGCGAGACATGCATGGATAACAAACTGGATAAAACCATCAAGTTCTTAAAATAACTCCAGCACAGATAAAACAATGCAAAAATAAAATTGCGACAGTTTGGAAGGTTAATAAAACATTTCCAGCGCCAAGAGCTGCAGATCAGGACTCATGTCTGTGTCGCCTGAGCGTGGGAAGAATGTGATTTTAACAAGCTTTATTACCTGCTGTAATCAGCTGTTCGGCTGGTTATGAAGAGGAGGAGACTGACTTCAGCTCTGTGTAGAAACTTCATGACTGATGAAAACTTAAAAACAACAACTTTGGACTCAGTAACTCCATCAGCTGTTCGCTGTAAACACACCCAGGCAGGCTGCTATTTACATTTAATGCCGACGATTGAGCTCAGGCGAACAGCGGCAAGACATGTGTGCTATTTGACTGTTGATTGTGATTTATTGGTTTGCAAACAAAGGTGGAAAAGAGAGGAACAGTAGCAGACAAACACCCAACATTCTCCAATTAAAGTCAGTAGCCTCTACTTGCCCATTCAGAAATTCTTGCTTAGACATCGATGCATTTGTATTAAAAATCTATAAGAAATCTATAATAATTTACCAGTCCAGGGAACCTTTACTGTAGAAGGAGTGCTTTTAGTTTGATGCTTAATTTTTCTGATAATACTTTTGTACTTTTACTTAAGTAGGATTTAAAATGCAGGACCTTTACTTGTAAAAAGAGTATTTTCATTCTGGAGCCCCCACAGAGCCCTTTGGCACTTTGTGGAGATGTGAACGCTAACATGGCTCAATCTGTATGCCACAGAGAAAAAACAATCCATGCTAATCTGCCACCACAGACAGGAGTCCAGTTAGGCCAATCAGGAGGGGAATCATCTGGAGTGGAGAGGGCTCAGAGAAGCCTAGATCAGGGTCCTGATTGCAGCAGGGTGATTTACAGCTTGAGAACAATGATGGCTGCCTGGGTCAGCACTGATGGAGAGGCTCTGACTTCACCAGACAGAGACAGCATAAACTCACCTTCATACACTGATGTACATACATGCATGAGCAAATGTGTAGGTGCGCGCACAAACCAACCAGCCAGCAAAACACTCACACTTTGTGTTGTTCACAAAGGTACTGGGATAAACCCTGCCAGGTTTACTCTGTGACCTTAACCTGCCCCCAAGGCTTGCATTTGACCCTCTGTGTTTCACTAACAACACATAAACCAAAACAACTCAGCAAGCTACTTCCTATGAACTCAGATAAAGCGGGAAACTGCCTTTGGCCTGCAGCGGCATATGTAAATACAACGGGAAAGGCTGAGGTTTGCATGAATGAAAAAAGGAGGGAGTTCAGATGTTAAGTGTGCATATGAGGGGAGAAAAAAGCAGGGGGGGGGGGGGGGGGGTAACCTTTAAGAGTTTTGTTTAGAGCATCCCCTTTGATCTGCCCGGTCATCATTTTGGGAAAGAGGAAGAACCACAAGGGTCGAAAAGGTCTCTTCAAAGTGACCCTGTGGCTTCACTGGCACTGGCAGCGTCCACGTCTGGGTGGTGCATGAGGTCATTTTTGGCAGCAACAAATATATTTAATTATGTCACCCAAGATCTTTGAGGAATAGTATCCATTTGATTTGACTGCCATTTTTGTCAAATGATCTTATGGAGCAAAATGAAAGTTACACTAAACAAAAAAGTTAACAAATCTGATAAGCCACTTTATTCTATTACATTAAACTCTGGCAAACATGTTAAAAGATAATTAACCCCATTTTTAAAAACTTTCCTACTACTACACAAAATTGATTAATGGGCATTATATAAATATAAAATAATAAATAATAAAAGAAAGAATTTCAAAGCATATTAAGTTAAATTTCCTTTAAGTACTGCCGGAAAGATTTTAAGATTAATAAAGTTTTGGCTCCTGGTATTCCAATTGGAATAAAAATCTGTTGTTCCTCGGGACAAACAGTAATTCAGTTCATAGACGGGTGCTAAAGATGCAAATACAATAATATTCTTTAATTTATTTTTCAAGGTTTGGTCATTGACTGCTACACCAGATATGCTATGGGCATCAGACTTATGTCCAAAGCTTTGACCAGAGATTTAATAAGGCCAATAAATAGGTGCAATTGCCATTAAAAGTACAGACGTCCTGCAGCTGTGAAGTGCCTGTTTGAAGTGGATCTGCTCCTACTTGCATCTGCAGAAGATATATTGGTATTAAGAAAGAGTTAATGCAGGGTTTGTCTTGTGTGTTTTAAAGTGGCCGCACTTTTGCCCCAGGTCCTGTGTGGGAGTTGAGAGGATTTGACGTGCGATACTAGACACACACGAGATCGCTCTCAGCTTCTAGAATAGGCAGGTGAGTACATGCACATGTGCCCCCCCCAACTAACACGCTCATGGACAATAAGTCACAGGCTGTATAGTGATAAAAGTCATTCACATAACAGTGTAATGGGGTGAAAGGAGAAAAGTGGATATCAACAGGAGAAAAGTTCCTATATTTGATATAATATTGAATTTATGTTTCTGAAAATTTTCCAAAATGTTATACGTGTTGCCGGCACCTAGTGAAGAATTCCCAGTCTATTTTGTAAACATTTGACAGTGATACATGGGGCTTATAGGACATCCTTGACTGATGACAGAGATTGGAAACCATGGCTACAGTTGGCAAATACATCCTGTTTTAGACCTCGGGGCCATGAGTCATAACGCCAAAACCAACACTTAATAGTTTGAGGGTTCAGTTGCTGTAAGTTCTCTTCTTTCACACTGCTGGGAACAAACAGGCAACTTCGAGCAGCCTATGTACTGTACATCCCAGAGCCAAGGCAGAGAGGACTGGTGAGGCTGAGAAGGCAGTGGGGGGAGGTGAGAGAAGATTTTTAGGGTGCCTGGAGTTTTGGGGGCTGAGTGGATGTATTTAGCCCCCAGCAGATTGCCCCCCTCTTCTTCCCTCCCCTCCACCTCCTCCAACCCTCTCCTCCCACTGGCTTTGTGTGCCCTGAGCCCACTCCTCCCCCTTTTGTCACCCGGGCATTCCGCTTTGGTTAGCACACACAATGGGTGCTCAGTGCTCACCCTCCTGACACTGCATTCTGCCTGTGCACCAGGGAGTGGGCACGGGAGGGGCAGGGAAAGGGGTCCAGGGGGGAAGGTTAAAGGATGACAGCAACTCGCCCCATGTGACCGAAATGCCATCAAGTACCAGCTCCCCCCTCCTCATTTTCAAAGACCATCGTCTAACTTCACCCATACAGATGGGCAGTAAAACTAGTGCCAGCGGGCCTGGTTGGCACGGTGAAAAACAAAACCTTGAGTTTGCTAGCCAAACAAACGAACAGGTGTCTCTTATGGCTGACTGGAGATGTGGAGCCCAGCCTTCAACCAGCTTGCCTCTCAGAATCTGTGTGCCCAGCTACATGTGTGTTCCCTTCATCTTTATGCTGCTGGGCACACATCCTAAACGGAATTTTAAGACCTGACTTAAGACCTGAGAAAATTTTTGTCTGAAAATTAATCCTCTACATCGACAACGGTAAGAGTAAAATTGGCATAATTACAAGTCCAGGCTTTACTGCTTTGACATGTTTATCAAATATTTGGAACTCTTCCTGGCCTCCAGCAGTTTCGCCCCGCTGATATAATGACTGAGTTTGACATGTCATGGCTTATGTTATTTTGCAAATAGCTGCACATGCACAACTGACAAACAGATGATTCCACATATCCTATAATAATTCTACATTAACAGTCTCATGCGCCCAAACAGTAAAACACACTCAACTGTAACAAGAGCAGTTTCCTTTTCTAGTATGTACAAATATGACACTTTCCAAAAGGAACCCTGGACATGGCAATTTATAATAGGCAATGATAATAAAGTTGAATCTAATGTAATCTAAATAGATATTACAGTGCATCATAATCAAGCGTCACCTAAAAGACTTGCAGCCGCAAAAAGTTGAAAACAAAGTTGCTGAACATACAACTACACACTGAAATTTAATTCCTGTTTAGTGATCGCAAGCAGTGGAGGGCAAGGGGATGACTGGGTCTGTATATGTGTGTGTGGCAGCAGCTCACACGCTGGTGGGGGGTTAGTTTGAGTTTCAAAGACCCTGCTTGTTCGCCCATATTTCACACCACGGTGACATCTTAAAGCCTAGACAGGCCTGGTTGCTTCGCCCTCTCTTTCACTTTCTGAGAAAAAAGGGGAATTGGGATGTGAGAGAGGGGGTACTGAAATATATGCAAATGGTCCCCCAGAGGGGATACGAATTTTATGGGTTTAGAATTTAGTTCAGCCAACCTGAATAATCAAATGTGGGAACAAAAAAAACCAGCCCCCCACCATCCCACCACCACAACTCTGTACCTCGAGCTTCAACCCCCACCTCAGGCCTCATCTCTGTTCCCTCCTGCCAGGTCTTCACATAAGAGGAGCTCAGTACGTCCAAACTCTTATTAGGATCTCCTTACGGGGCAGGGGAAAGGGAAGGGAAGAGAAATGAGAGGGGGGAGGAGGGGTTTGAGGAAAGGAGAAGAGGGGCTAGTGTACCTGATCAGGCAGAACTGCTGGCTCCTGATTACGACACCATTTTCTCAGCAGGCTTCCCAGCCTCATCCTGCTTCTGTGAATATGGAGCATAGGGCCAGCCAATCCCCTCAGCGTTCCCTCTCATCTAATGGCAGAATTAAGACCGTTTAGAGTGATTTCCTCTGCCTTCATGGTCGCACTCTGAAAGAGCTGAATCTTTTTCCCTTTGCGCCGATTTACAATGTGGGGGGTCTGGCATGCAACGGGTGAGAGAAAAGTTCTACATGAATGAACATAACATTACAACAGGTGGGGAATTGAACAGAGACTCTGCAGAACATGGCTGAGAACAATTTTACTTGCCTATACATTCTATTTACATAGAACCACTATTTCAGTTAGGTAGAAAAGCCTTATTCTTGTAGCACACTTACCTTCATGTGGGTTTATGAGTGTACAGCCAGCTTTCCTTGGGAACCACAATCACAACCTGCGCTCTGCCTATTCTCTCCATATCCTCCATCTGTGTGTTTAATTTTGGTTACCTAAAGCAGATAATAAAACATGTATATTTTAATATATTATCAAGTTAATGCAAATTGTCTATTCAGTGTTTCAGGTCATAACCTTGCGTGTATATGCATGATAAACAACTAGATTAAGCACACAAAAGCAATACCTACAAAATATATGTTTGCAGAACTCATATTTTACTGTTGCCCCATCACTTGACCCCTAGGGAACTATAGGGTTTTAATGACCGAGAAATCATTTTGATTTCAAACAAGAAAAAGATCCTCCAAACATGACAGAGAACATTAAGAGCTGGACACATTTAGAAAGGTTTACATTTGGCATTCACTATGAAATGTAATTGCTGCTATTGTTCAGTAGTGAAAGAAGTCCTCAGATGTTTTACTTTATCCCAGTGTAGAAATGTTCTGTCGTGCATTCAAAATTTAAAGCACAAAAGCATTAGCATCAAAACATAATTAAAGTTCCAAAAGAAAAAGTACTCATTCTGCAGAACAGCCCATTTCAGAATAATGAACTGCATTATATAATAATAATATATAATTGATTGAATTGTAATAATGTGTTTATAATTATTAATGCACCAGATTTAAGAAACTAAAAGCCTTAGTGAGATTTCCTGAACTCACTATAGACTTACTTTATCATAAATAAAACTAACTTATTTTGTATTGATTTAATATAATAAGAGTTGTCCTTATTATTGTGACTGCAGTGAAAACCACGGATCTCCATCTTTGTTGATTTTGAATTCTACCTGCCCTACAATTCATATACTAACATATGAACTTTATTGATTTTTTGAGTTTTTGCGTTGTCACAAAGCTGAAAACGGTTTTTCTTGGCTCATAAAAAGTTTACCTTTTGGAGATACATTGTTTTCACAGCTGAGATTTAACTATTTTACATACATGTAGTCCCTCAATGGAAGTAAAGCATGTAAATGGTTAAAAGCTGATCATTTGTCAGATCAAACTGATTCATAATGACACTAACCCAAACATGGTGCAAATCTGGACGCAAATCTGCTTAAACTCACTCCTTATATGCCAAACTGCATTACATCAAGCCCATCACTCGGGAATATGTAGAATATGGCATAACACCATATCAACCAACCACAGTTTGAACCTGTTGCTTTTGTATTCCCAATGCTTAATGATCCCCCACTTTTCTTCCAACCTCCAGTAGACAAATCCTTCAGCTTTATTGCCCAGACTCAAGGGCTGCAGGTGCACAGGCCACAAAAGAGTGAGAAGGGGGGTCAGGGGGTGTTGGCGGGGTGGAGGGTTGGAGGAGGGGATGGGAAAGAGAATGGTCAGTCGGGAGATAAGAGAGGAAGGAACAGAGCCCCCCTACCCTGGTTTAACCTCTACACCCACCCATCCTACCCCTCACTCCGTCTCTGTCCCTACCCCGCAACACCTCTCTGTTTTGCTCGACTGCCCTGCTACACGTGACAGGAGTGCAAACTGTGAGTGGTGCCGCCTGGTGCTACCAGGCCTTCCTGGGTGTGTGTGGAAGGGACAGGGGGCAGGCGTGGCAGAGTGGCCATGCGGCGGGAGCGGACCTTTTCTTCTAAACCAGTAGAGGAGCAGTAATGACTATGAGCTACAGCTGTGCCCACTGAGGCTTGCCCTACCTTGCCCTGCACTGGCCTCTCAACCTCATCTCACCATGCTGCCATGTCTGCTTCTGGCCTCTGCTACTGTTAGTGGAAGCTACAAGGTATCGACAGACAGTATTTTCCCCTCAAAAGAGATAAGAATGGGTCATATGAGGCCTCATGTGATAGTGAAGATCTCAACAGTACAGTATGAGTTATTTACTTCAAAAACAAGATCAAAGTAATGGAAGAATTAGATGAAATAGTCAGAATATATTTAATCAAAGCCAAAGCTTTTCACATTTCTGACACGGAATTACTCCTGTGAAAAATATAATTTACCACTTAAAAAACACATATGCACAGTTAGTTCATTTCATTCATCATCAATTATTATTATTTGCTGTCAACTGACATCAGTTAATTGATTATTACAGCTTTATTCAAATCAGATCATAGGAATGAGGAAATTACATAGACACTATGATCTGGGTGAAAACAAAATTGTACAATTGAGATGGAAGGATAACATAAATATAAAGTTCAAACAAAGTAGAGTGAGGCAAAGTGAGGCAAAGTTTCTGAATATTCAGATTTTATTTTCAAAGCTTCGAACAGACATTACCTATAGTAAAGGCCTAATATTTAAGACCGCTCTAGGTTGTTGTTTTTTTGTCTGTTTTATGTACAGTGCAGCATTTCAAATCAGTACAGTGAGGTGACATAATGTGTGTTTTTGTATATAAGAATTTACAACTGCATATAAAGTATATGTGAATTTGTAGATTAGTTCTTGTAAATGTCACATGGGCGGTGTCTTATGAACCTGATTTGTTTGTCATCCGTTTCACAAACCATAAAAACAGATGTCATTCATTCACTATTTGTTCCCCTCTGTAATTACTGCTGCCACACTGTTTTCATAACCTTTTATTACATCTATATGGTGTTCTACAGCAACATCATTTTCATGTGTGACTATTTCTAAATATATCATTCAGTACTCTGCATTTCTTTGATGATTCTTGAACTGAAAATGTTAACACCAGAATTACGATAGTGCGGGGAAAAAAAGGGAAAAAGAAATAATCCTAGCATCATCATCAAAGTTGTTTGTGGTTTAAATGAGTAAGGTTAAAGGAAGGCCTAAACAGGACACACCATGTGAGTCACAAATACCAGTGATGAAATACCTAACTGTAACTAACTGAAATAATTTTAAAATTTGGCATGCCGGGTCCAAGTGCTGTGTGTGCCTCCATGTTTCCACCTGCAGACATAAAGCCATATGAGTTACCTTCTATACACTATGCTTGCATTATACTGTAGCTCGCTCTCTGTCACGCACACACACATATAAACACACCGACCTGCCTATGTTACTGGAGCTGCTGTGCAGAGAACACACCCTCGGGGACAGGAATAACAGGCCACTCCAGAGCATGAGGACATTTGAGACACAGTGGCACCATACAAGCATGATGACTCTTTAACGTCTCCTTATCTCCATCACTAATCCTCGGCCGCTTCACCGTCAGCTACTGTTTACACCAACTGCCAAAGTCAAGAGTAAAGCAGAAAATGGACTTTCTTAATTGTGAATGACTAAAGTCCACTAGAAAGCCATTGAGGAAGGCCTCTAGTGTGGAGGGAGCCTCATATTGAATATGGATTGAAATTTACATGACAACTTAGGAAAAATGCTTTTTTATTACTCATTCATCCCCTAAATCACTTGGCACCCCCGCTCCTTTCCTCTGCCTGAGCTATTAAATCACCATCTTGACCCTGCGACCTGGGGCCGCAGCCATAAAGAGCCCCCCTGTGGGTCAGAGGACTGATTGTAACATTTGAATATGAAATGGCCTTGGTTGGGCCTGGAAACAGCCCCATGCGCTGAGACACAGGCTGACCCCCAGGAGAGAGGCCTGCCTCAGCAGCCCGGAGGCTCCCTCTTCTCTCAGCGAGGATTTACTTGGACTTGAGAAGGAGGGAGAGGCAGAGAGAAGGCTGAAGTCAGGGTGGAAGGATGAGGAAGGGGGGGTGAAGCGGGGTAGGGGTTGAGCAAGAGTGAGGGAGAGGAGAAAGAGAGAGGGCAGACATTTGAATAAGACAAGAAGCGATTGGTGTTTGCATGACAAAGGAGCCCGCCATCTCCCCTGATTGGTGTCACAGTGCGGCACTAAAGCCATGCAGCCCCCCTGGGGTGGGGTGATGTGTGGAGCACTGGCATGTTTATGCATCCAAGGTGTGATATTAAGGGGGGATAGAGGGGGCCGTCGTCAAGTTTCGGGTTAGAAGTTTGAGCGCATATTCTTAACAGGAGAAAAAGTTTGCATTATTCCGACTATAAATTTACAATTTTAAGTGAAAATCAAGTCCAAAATTTTACTTTTTCTCTATATGCTTGAAACTTTTTTTTAAAAAGTACGGCCAGCTAAAGGTGCTTTAATAGAATAAGAAGCGTTAATGACTAAATCCAGTTTATTACAATTTAGGTCTTGTTTTCACAGTTTTGTGCATTATTTTGTATCAGTTATGATAACACCGTACTAACCAAAGTAATTGCTGAGATCCAGCAGGGCAAGAAACACAGGCATTCAGCCATTCAGACATGTTGTAAACAAGCAATCAAATTATTTAAATCACTTAATATTTGGAGGGAAAAGCAAAAGTGAGTGAACCTGAAATAATGGTAATAAACTGCTATTGCACAGAGAAAATGGGTGCGCAAAACTGCAGTAGGCATGGTAAATCAAAGCTGAACCAAGAGGTCAGTCTGCAAACTTTGATAGATGTTTACAAAGGACAGTTTTGGGTAAAAATCATTCCTGTTCACTGGAATTCACTGTTGTAACTTGGGAGTTTGTTTCCCCGATCTCAGCAATTACACTTGGAGAATTGAATTTTAACTAACTAACAGAAGAAATGGGAAAAGGCATTGCAAAACAACGACATTATCCTTTGAAAGTGGGTAATATTGATAAAAGTCAGCCTTGGAACTGTAAGAGTTCAGTCCAGAGGAAGAGGGTTTACAGCTGTTGCCAAAATAATGCATTATGTCTGTTTCTTCATCTCTCGGTTTCCACCTTGTTTCTGAAAGTAAATAATGGTATACCTCCCCTGTTCCCTACCTGAAGACCACCACCCTCACTGTCTCCTGCTGGGCTGTCAGTGGAGTCGTCAGCTACTGCAGGTGGACCTCTGGCGACACAGAGTCCTGACCATGCATCTCCCTCCTGCACCCACTCCTTGCAACCCCTCCTTCTTAACGTTTGATGGGAACAATGACAATATATGAACACAGATGAGAGAGGATCATGTGAGTAAGCAAATCCAGGGGCTATGAAGGGGATTTCACAGCTCAATAAGTTTGGACAATTTGTTTACAACCCCCATTATTACAGGTCCCTTGGGAGTTGGTGTATGCATAAACATTGATTCATTTTAGATATTGCAGATTAGCCAAGAGTTGGTCCACTCAGGAGAATGATGCAAAAGGTCCTGAAGCGCAAGGAAAAGTACCACAGGGGGTCAAAGAGAGAAGGGATGAGGATGAAGGAAGCGCAAGTGAGAGTTAGCGAGGTCACAAACACACACACACACACACACACACTAACCCCCTACAGACAAAGCCTCCAAAGGCTCATCTGGGCAGTGCTGCTGGCTCTCAGGGACACACCTCCAAGAGAGATGGCCTGACTAACGCTCCATGGCAACTAATCAATAAGTGACAGAGTCAGTCAGAACTGACCCGTAGCCAAGCATGTTTCACCTCCCCCAATGTTCCCAGGGTTACACTCCCATAAACCACACACATACAGATTGGGCTACACTAAAAGTGCCCCCAACCTGACCAGTGCACCCAGGAAAAGAAACTGCTCTAAGTTTGGGTGCATTTCACAACATACCTGTTTTCAACATGTGCAAGGGTGTTTGTTTTTTGTGTGAGTGTGTATTTGTTGGAGGGGGCACACGTGGGTACAGGTTACTTAATGAACACAGCTTCTGACAATAGCGATATGATCAGAGGGCTTCTGACGGAGCAGAGTCACCACACCACCATTGTGTGTCTGTCAATCTGTGTTCCCTCTCACTGTCCTCGACAAACACTAATCAATAACTGTGGCCTAGATGAGAGGCTTAATCTTCCCCCCTGTCACGCCCTTAAGTCCTTATCCCCCCAACTGTGCATTGTCTTGCAGGAGTCCCATACTCACTTGCTGTCCCAAGGCATAGTATATACATTAGCACACATACACTTGGCCCACTTCTTCTAGGCTTCCAAAACAGGTCAGAAGTGGGGTCAGAACTCTAGTTTGGTAACTTAAAAGCAATGCTACATGCTCCAGTGTTCATAGACAAAGTGATGTGTGCTACAGAAAGGGACCATCTGCAGCAGACACACTTTTACACACTAGAAAGTCTTGGTTAGTGTCAGAGCATTCCTTAATGCACATTAGAATCAACCATTTGTATGTAATTGCCCTTACAGGTTATTCAGGAAGAGGCCTCTTAATCCAGTTTTATTCTTAGATGTGTGCTTGTGTATGTGTGGTTTTACACATCTTCCTCTAACTACAATTACAAGCAAAAACAAGTTCAAGTAAACCTCAGCAGCGCTTAGTTGAACAATACGTCAAAAGGATCGCGTCGGAAAAACTCTCTAAACATACAACCCGGGCAGCAAAAAAACAGAATCATTTCAGCTGTTCGTGTGATTTGTATTTGTTTTGTTTGGAACAAAAGAGGCAGTAATCCGGTCTCATATTTGACAAGTCTCATATTCACACACACCTGCTGGGACAAAGTAAACACACCTTCAGAGTCAGACACGTTAATGGATGACCCTCGTATTAAAACCTAAGTCAGGATAAACCCTAAAGCAGGCATGTTGACATGATATGGTAAAAAGACATGCCCATTCCAGGCATGACTGATGGGAAGTCGCCACATCACAGCTAAGTCATGTGCTCAGTATGTACATAGGTCGAACAACATCATGGCCACTATGCCTGGCAGTGTCTCTGCTTCATAGTTGTAATAATTTCAAATAGATTTTTGGTTGAATCGAATAATTTAAACGGTTGGACTAATTCCCAACATGCTTTGTAGCACAGGTATCAGGTGTTTCCATTCAACAGAGATCTCCTGTATCAGATCAAAGCCAAAGTTTTGGCTAATGCAGGAAAAACAAACCTATAAGACGTTATTTTTTCACTTCAAATGTAATTTTGCACCCTAAATGAATTTCTTTACGTACCCAACTCTATAGCAGCTCGGGCGCCTGCAAGTCTAATAAGCCCTTAATTCAGCTAATTTACTTTCAGCTGAGATAAACAAGTAATTCGCTGCTGGGTGGATGCAGTTTCTTGAGTGGCGGCATGCTTGTCTTTGAAGCATTTCCCACTCGGCATTCCTTGTGGTTGTGTAAGGCATGGCGATCCAACCAGAGCTATCATTAATGAGCCATTTGCATCAAGGAACAAGTCTGTTAGCGCTCACATAAGTTCAGGCAAGGAGCTGAAAATTGGGATGTACTTAAAAGAGGAGAGGTATGAAAATGGTCAAATGTGATTTTCTAGTGTCTCTGGTGAGTGCTGTCGGTGAATGAGTGAGTGAGTGGGTGGGTGGGTGAGTGAATGGAAAGGGGATTGAGAGGACAGTGCAGTGGAGAAGGATGGCTCTCAGTGGGTCAGCCCAAAAGCCCTGACCCCCAGGAGGATTTGATGCCATTTTCCCACGCAGGGAGTCGACCTGAGAGGAGCTCGTTAACAACATCTGCCCCAGTTCAGGGAGATTAACCCCACCCCCAACCCCCACACCTCTACACACTCGCACACACACAAACACACCGCTCTGCTGTCAGTCTCAGTACCTCACAAGTCCATCGCTCTGGATAGGCCTGCACAAGCTGGACATGCCACCCTGGGCCCCTCCAGGCTCAGTTCAAATGGCCTCCTGGAGATCCCAGCCACAGCAAATCAATACAGTCTGACTCTGTCATAGGTGCAGTCCCTAACTGCACTCATCCATTCATCCATGACACTCAAACTATGTTGTTGGGTGATGTCTGATCTGTAAAAGGAGGTTCCAGATTTGAGTTTGAGATTACGTGAGAGTTAACAGTATGTTCAGGTGTGTTCCTGCTGAAAGTTGCCCAGCCAGTCGAGCAGGCAAGTTTGTGATGTCACCAACGTCGGTCTGTCAACCAGATTTGTGTAATGACTTTTCCACTCATCATACTGACGTAAAAAGGAGACACTCGAATTCACTCCTGTGTGTTTAACACCATGTTCACATATACTCTGGCAAGACATGCAACTGACAGGGCATGTTCTGACATAATGAGGACAGACACATGGGAAAACAGGATCCACTGAAATATGTCCCAGAGCACTGCCTCTGTTAAGCTGGAGCCTTGCATGAGCTGCACACATACATAGGTGCATGTAGACACAGAGTGTCAGAATCCACTGGGAATCCGCTGAATCCATGTTCTGCAGGGCTATAATTAGGTTAGTTTTTGGAGAGGGGGTTAAACAAACAGGGGC